TCAGAAAAAGTTATATGCCGAAGTGATCCCGCCTCTCAACTGTCATGCCTGACTGATCCTTATTTGATAGAACTATCAGTGTTTATTGGCATTAGTGATATATCTGGCCTATATTACTAGATTTCCCTAGGGACTAATAACCTCTAGTATTATAGGGTAATACATGTTTGGCGTGTACTCGCCAATTGGATTTCCCGGTTACCTGATAACCATCCGAGAAACTGCCAAGGTGAGTTCTTATCACTATATCAGTATATTGTATACTCCAGTATGTATCCTTTGTATGTTAGGATATAGTTATCATGTAGTATGCACTTAGGCAATTAGACTAGGATAGTTGGTTGCATGTTATGTGGATTGTTGCTATATGTATGTTGATATGTATATGGAGTTGAGGGTAGACCAGCCTTGTTTTGAAGGCCAATAGACTCGGACGGACTAGGTTTATGCTAAAGGCCAAGGGAAAGCGGTTCGGCTACCTGCTGAAGGCTATATAAGGTGGACCATCTATATAATGAAGTCCAAGGTCCGGACCAACTATAAGTTGAAGTCCAATATGTGTATGCATTGTATATATATATATATATATATATATATATATATATATGTTGTGGTGTGTGATATTTTGAGGGAATTCACTAAGCCTTAGCTTAAAATTGTTGAATAATTGATTTTCAGGTTGTTCTTCGGATCGAGGAAAAGCTCACGCAAGACTATACTCGCATCAAAGGCATTTGTTTAAGACTTCCACTAAAACTCTTTTTCATGTAATAAATGTATGACAATGGATTTTGTAATAAAATGGTTGTAAGACTTATATTTAAAAATAAATAAAAATTAAAAGTTTGCTCTGAAATTCAGGACGTTACATGGGCTGTAGCAACGAAAGTGACTGTAAGACTATGGTTGGATCATAGCATTCAAATGGGTTGAAATATACCCCTATGGCAGGGCCCACTGTTATGTATGGTATGTGGTATCTTGGGGAACTCACTAAGCTTTGTTTTTAAGGTTTTAAGTTTAAATGTTGTAGGTATTTTGGCAGTATGGGAAGAGCACGACGTGATTGCATCGCATCAACTGTTATGTATTCAAGATGTTCCGCATTATAATATTAACACTTTGATTTATGTTTCCGAAACAACTGAACATTTACTTTTATGAATGAATGGCATGATTTCCTTTGATTTTAAATGAAATTGTGGTTTGAAATTTGGGACGTTACATCTTTTGTCTCAGCAAGATTCTCATCATCACCTGTTTTTCCAATGCTCTTTTTCGAATGGAGTTTGGAATGTTGTTAAGGCGAAAGTTGATTTTGGTACTGTCCCGCACTTAATTGTGGATGTTCGGACTTCATTGAATCTTATTAAAAAAGCTTTCCTTTGCTGCTCGAGTAACTCTACTAACAAGGTGATTTTAGATATCTTTGAAGATGTTAGACTCAAACTCATTGGTCTTGAAGATGGATATGTGGGATTTGATAATGAAATTAGAAGGACATGAAGTGGAAAATATAAAATCAACGGTTTTGATGGATAGTAAAATCTTCTAGATTTTGTCTGTTGTTTACAACTATGGATGGATTTGGTTGGTCTTAAATTGCTGGAGTGGACTAATAAAGTTCTTATGGGCTCGTATACCTTTATTTACTTGGTTTCATAGAAAGCAAACTCAGTTTAAAAATAAAAGAAACATGAACTGGTGGTGGTTATTAGATATAGAGACATGAACTGCTTCAAGTTGCATGCATAAGGGTATTTTGGTCTTTTTTATTTTTTTATTTTAATTCTTAACACTTGGTGGTGGTTATTAGATATAGAGAAAGACCAGATTGTTTTAAATTTATGGAGTAATAATGAGGGCAAGAGTAAAGAAGAAAACAACGGGCATAATGGTCGATTTCAGGAAAATGTTGGCATACGTTTGCTTATTGATCTATGGAGATGTGGATGGCGTTGGCTGGTGATATTGATGTTTACTTCTTCCCTAAGAGCATTGGGTATGGGCAACACCCATACCCACCCATAACACAGCCAGATCACCATCTTATCTCTACAACGAGATTAAGGGATGTTGTTCCATGTTATACCGTCGTTAAGGTAATGAAAAGAAGAAGCAAAGGAAGAAAGAAGAAGAAGAAGACGTCGTTGCTCTAGGTTGTCGTTACCACGAGAAGCCCCATAACGAGCAAATGGGCGGTGTGCTTTTCGTTATAACGGCGTTATAGGCCCTCCACGTAGACAATAACGCCGTGGAGGCGACCCATACCCACTGCTCTAAAAAGTCGGGTATTTCTGGAATTTATTCCTTGAATATCGAGTTTTTTAGATTTTTTATTAAAAAAAAAAAAGAATATTACAGACCGATTCTTTATCCAGGTTGTCATTAGTTTAGGCTATTTGGTATGGGATTAATTTCACGCGTCTTGGGCTGATGTGGCGCGCCTCCCCACGCGTGAACACCGCCCCTAACTCCGGTGGGGTGCGTGTGACGTGGCTCCGGACACGGGACGAGACGACGAATGAGAAGCCTTCTTTTTTGTAACGGGTGGATTTTGGTGGGGAACGGTCTTTTGACCGTTTAACAAATAAAAAAAATTATTTTTTAAAATTTAAACACACTCAACTTCACCTATAAATTACCTACTATTCTATTTACAATTTACACTTCAAAAAACACTCTCTACATTTTATTACCATCTACAAAAAACACTCATCTCTCTCATATTTTTTTTCTCTCCAAATGGATTCAAATCCAAACACCCCAAACACTCCAAATGCAATTGTTAACCTCCCCAATCCAACAACAACCTCTATTCACCACTTCAACCCCCCCCCCCCCCCCCCCCAAACTTCTACCAACAACAACCACAACAATTCAATCAACCCCAATTCCAAGCCTTTCAACAACAACCTTCTCAACAATTTCAACAACCTTCTTTTATACCTCAACAATTTCAACCATCTCAAGTCCCATTATCTCAATCTCAACCTATAAATCTCGACAATGACGACGACGACGAACGGGTCGAAAAAACACAACAACCAACTCGTCGAAGGCAAAAAAAAAACAAAAGATCCAAGAAAAAAAGAACTACCGCATGGAACGAAGACGAGGAGGAAGCTTTAGCGAAAGCTTGGATTTTCATATCGCATGACGGGGATGTCGGCAACTCACAAACGGGTCAAAGTTTTTGGTGTCGTATTTTAGATCATTTCCATGCGTTATTAAGAAAGAAAACGGAGCAGACGTACGACTTGATCAACGCAAAATGGCGTGATTTACGAGCGGCTTGCACCAAATTCAATGGCATATTGGACAAACTTAAAAACATGCATAGAAGTGGTAGCAACGATTTCAACATTTTAGCAACCGTGACCTACGAATAGAAAATTACCACCAATGGTAAACCGTTCGGCCACCAAAAAGCGTGGGAAGTTTGTCGTAACGGTCAAAAATAGGTTCTATATCCGGAAATGGCGCATTCGGGATCTACCACCAGTTCCAACAAAAGGGAAAGAACGTCCGAGTCACACGTGGGTTGTGGACTCGACCTCAACGATGACTTCGATGCCACCAAGGGGGAGGGCCCACCGGACGTCCAACTTCGTCGACCACCGGGAAGGGACAAAGCGATAAAGGGAGCGTCTTCAAGCGGAAAAGCACCGGCAACTAGCGAATGCGAGCTTGCGACATCTATAGATAAAGCTCTAGTTTTTCTAGAAAAAAAAATATGAATCAACGGAGGAAGCTCGTCGCCAAAATATAGTTCTTACCGATCTTCAAATCATAAACACAAAACCCCAACCGGATATCGACCCGAAAAATCTTGCAACGTTTCTTAAAATTCAACGACAAGTCTGGGACAAATATGAAATTTAGGTTCTAATGTTTATTGTTTTAAGTAATTTAGGATTTTAATTTTTTTATGTTTTTTTTAAGAATTTTAGGATTTTAATTTGTGTTTTTTATATTAATGTAATGTGTTTTTAATTTTAATGTAATGTGTGTTTTTATTTAAATTTTGGATTTTATTTAAATTATGGTTTGTATTTTGTTTTTTATTTAATATAATGTTAAAAAAAAATAAAGTAAAAAAGAATTTGTGGAGTGGTAACCATTTTCAATGTTTAGTGGGTTGGTGGTGAAGGTGACGTGGCGTACAGGTGACACCACTTTTTCGGTGGGTTGGATATGACCACTCCCCAAAGCCTTATTTTCTGTGGATATTTTCATGGCCCAAATCCCAAGATAAACAAATAGTAATTTATCCAGCAGCCTACATCTCACCACCTTGGCCATACAAGCAGCCTCAACATTCACCGAATAAAAATTTGATTTTGACAATTTAAGTTTCAACCCCGAAGCCTGGCCAAATTCAATTTTGCCATGATGATTATTATTTTGACAGAAAAGGTATCCGAATGTTTGAATATTGTTTTAGTAAAGATTTTGAGTTCTAGAACAAATTTAGAAATGTTATTATTTATTGTATATTTACAAAAATAGTAGTTCCCTTGAAATATTTAGACTAAACTGCATAAATGGTTCCTGTGGTTTGCTCAAAATTGTCACTTTGGTCCAAAAAGGTTTGGACTAGCACCACATGTCCAAAGTTTTCATTTTGTTGCTTGTTTGGTCCAATCTGTTTTGATTTTTTTCGAAATGACGAATTTGCCCCTGTTAATATGATTTTCTTTTTTTTCTTATTTTTTTCTAATTTTCGGATTTAAAAAAATAAAAAATAAAAATAAAAATAAAATAAATCTCTCTCTCTCTCTCTCTTATTTATTTTTTTGATTTTCAGATTAAAAAAAATAAAAAATAAATCTCTCTCTCTCTCTCTCTCTCTCTCTCTCTCTCTCTCTCTCTCTCTCTCTCTCTCTCTCTCTCTTTGGAAAACACAAGCACAAAAAGGAGGTTGCTACCCTCCGTTCCAACCATTTATCCGTCTTCTTTCTCGATAACAAGCAACCCAAACACCCCCATACTTGTTGTTACTGTCTCTCTTCTTCTTCTTCAGTATTAATCGAGAAACCCTCCACCAGAGGTGGGGGTTTTCGGCTATCAGGAGGGCAACAACCCCCTCCCATTTTCCTTGTGTTTATCGTTGGCTTCATAGCAACCCAAATGCCCCCACCTATTGTTGTTCTATCTCCGATCTGCCTTTCCCTTTCCCTTCGCGTTTTCTTCCAGATCAAAATAGGAACAGTCAAGAGGTCGCTGGAATCCCCAAATTGAAGATGCGATGCAACATCAAAACAAACCTAATCAGGTAAAAACAACGAGTACAATCTCTTTCTCTCTATGTATTTCTATGGGAATCTTCTAGGAATCACTTCTCTAGCTCTTCAAATCGGGGTTGATTTCGTCTCTTCAAATCACTTCTCTTTGAGAGTGGAGGCACACATCAGAGCATCAGGTGAACAGATTTAGCAAATAGGTTTGCTCGTCTGTTTCCAGCTCTTTTTCATGGAAATCGAAGATATGAACTTTTCTCCTTACATTTCTAGATGAACCCGATTTGGTTTTTTTTACCCAACTCAAAATAGAGAGAAAGGAGAAGATCCCGAGAGAAATTAGTTTCATTAAGTTAGTAGAGAGAATATGAAGATGCGGGCAAGAAAGGGTGTGACCTGAAGATCTGAGATTGAAGAAGATGATGGTGGTATGTGTTCTTGGGATGTGTATAGAGAGAGAGAGAGGGAGAGAGATTTATTTTTATTTTTATTTTTTAATTTTTTTTAAATCTGATCAGAAAAATAAATAAGAGAGAGAAAAATAAATAAAAGAGCAAAATAAATAAGAGAGAGAGAGAGAGAGAGAGAGAGAGAGATTTATTTTATTTTTATTTTTTATTTTTTTAAATATGAAAATAAGAAAAAAAAATAAGAAAAAAAGAAAATCATATTAACAAGGACAAATTCGTCATTTTGAAAAAAATCAAAACAGATTGGACCAAACAATCAACAAAATGAAAACTTTGGATCTTTGGTGCTAGTCAAAACCTTTTTGGACCAAAGTGACAATTTTGAGCAAACCACAGGGACCATTTGTGCAGTTTAGTCAAATATTTACCCAATATAGGATTGTAATTTTTTCTTCTCGTTAAGCCACTCTGCCTTTGGAAAACTCACCCGATAATAACACTGTATTTTCATTTTAAAACTTTACCCAAACATAACATTGTATTTTTCATTTTTCATGTTATGGTTCTACAACTACAAGTTTTTAAGCACAAGCTAAATGAGCAATAGTTATAACTAAAACTTAAAACACAAGACAAATTGCAAGGATGACCAAGGCAAAAATACCATACATAAATCTAAATCTCATGGGTAGATAGAGCATAACCATATGATGTCTTTTTCATACTAACAACAAAGTACAAACATACTAAACACCATGATATTATAATCTGCACCTCACTCTCAGTTTCTGCAAACACCCAAAATACATTTTATTCACTAGATTCAAAGTCAAACATATATGAAGACTCAGCAACACAATGACTTGCTTCTTCCACCTTATGTCACAAGACAGGGGTGGTGTTCCTCCAAGTCACTAGTGACTTTCCTTTGCCATGTCATCTAACAATCTCTTGCATTTCGTACCATACCAGAGTACCTAATTGATTAGATTATCATTATCTGACTAGATGTAGTATTCTATGGAAAACAAGGTAATTAAAATTCTTAAAAGAGTTTCCTGTCAATAAATTCACGTTACATAATTCTGTCTCAATTGAAAATGTCAAAACTAACCTTCTTTGTTGGCCATTCCTCTTCATTATCATCAACATCTGTATCACTTTTACAGGAAGTGATCACGGAACACACACGCGCAAATAGGTCAAGGAGTCAAATACACAAAACTTTAATATTAAAATCTAAGATGGTAAAAAAAATATGTTTAAGAAAAGGATATCTAAGATCATAATCATCTCTAACTTGGTATCCAGAGAAGCAGACAATGCCATTACTCCAAGTGTGAAATATTTTGAAGTCCTTGTGAATCGTCAAGGCCAAATCTTGTTGGGTCCGGCTAAGAGGGTTCAGGTGTCCAATAACATGTTGTTTGCCTTCAACACTGATTTGCAAACAAACAGCCACGTCTATTTTCTCCGTATTGTCTAGGAGACAAGCCTTTGAAAGACGCATAACGTGGCCTTCATCAACCTTTACATTTAATTTTTTACAACCACTAACCTCATAATCTATATCATCACCAAATATGTCTGCCAAAATATATATATATACAACTTAGAAAATGGTAACACTCCTAAACTCAGTGTTAAAAATAATTGATATAAAAACAAAAAACCATTTTTCACATTATGTTTTCAGGATGCAGATATAATATACTCCACACTGGTGCATATATATAAACACCCACAATAATGCTGCATTCAAGTTAATTCCCACGACAATAGAACATCACATATAATAAAACTGAAAATCACATATTTATGATGCATCCAATATCAACATGAAAACATAAACGAAAAAAACATGTGAACGAAACCACGAGACGAGAAATAAGAAAACGATCAAGGTAAATCAAAGTGAAGATTTGCTTATCAAAACCAAAAGAAGCCCAAATTTTCATCCAAAACAAACCCGAACGACATAAATGAAAAGGAAGACAAATACAGAGCGTGTAGATAATGAAATAAAATTGGAGAGAGATGATTCGTTACCCGGATCGTCCATTGTTGCAGAGGAGATAGAGATTTGTAAGGAAGTGACCGAACCGGAGGAAAACCCTACACGGAACCACACCCTTTGAATCCTTCAATAAAAAACTAATGGCCTATTACATAAAATTTTCTTATCTTTTATACAAATTTCCCGTACCGGTTTCGGACCGAACCCGGAAAAAGACCGAGATCGCACTGAAAAAATATCAGTCCTAAAAAAAGACCGGACTGAAAAAAGACCGGCTCGAGACCATCCAAGACCTTTCCGAGAAAAACCGGACCGGAGACCGGCCCAAAAAAAACCGGACCATTCCGAGACCGACACAAGACCGGTCCGAGACTAGTCTGAGACCGATCTCAAAAAAGACCGGAAACCAAAGTTTATAAATATATAATTTTTGTGTTAATTACACAATTTTTTAATCACACACTATCTAACTTCATTTCTTTTTTATTTTATTAAACCTTAGTGTATCACTTTTAAAAAGTTTAATTTATCATTTTGGTGTTAATCACATATTTATTAAGGGAAAAACTCGAAACTGAACCTAAAAAACCAACAAATACCGAAACCGGGCTGAAAAAACCCGAAAACCGAACCGAAAAAGACACACGGAAACGAGACCGGTCCGAAAAAAGATCGGACCGAAATAGACCGGTCTGAAAAAAGACCGGCGTGAGACCGGACGGGACCGGTCCGATAAAAGACCGGACCACTCTGACCGGAAAAAGACCAGACCGTTTCGAGACCGACCCGAGGCCGGTCCGAGACGACAAATGTGCAGGTCTTCGTTTGACTCATCCTCTGATTATAATAATATTAGGTTATAACCTGCATACTACACGGTTGGCAAAATTAAAAAACATAGATAATAATATTAAAAAAAAACATAATATATTGTTCTTTCTCATTTTAAATAAGAAAAAAATGATAAGAATAACAAAATTGAACAAAATGTTAAAATGGTCATTTTATTAAGAAGAAAAATATGTTTTGGCCACTAAAAGTGTTTCATACGAATTGTTAGAAAAGCAAAATAGCTAGGAAATAATAAATAAGTTACATGTAGAAGTCGTTATGTTTTTTTTTTTGAAACGGAAAATATATTAAAAGAGGGTATCCACACCTAGCAAGAAACTAGATGAGGGACCAAAAGGCAAAGTACATAAACGTTCATGAATTACAAACCAGCAAATGGAGAGCCACTCATCCCAATTACATATTCCATTCTTACCCCTATGCTTCAACCAGTAAAAGACCATAGACTTTATGCTTTCAGTCCTTTGCAGTGGTGAAGTACCCTCCATTTGAAATAATCGTTTGTTTCTAAACCTCCATAAATTCCAAAGCAAGCGGTAACATATGGCAACAAACCTTTCTCTTTTCCTTTGACTGTTACACCAGGTGGCAGCTAGATGAAGAAAATCACTGATATTTTTTTATAGAGACCTGATCACGTGTTACACCACACCAGCTCAAGATGTTGTTCCTTATCACAGTAGCAAACGGGCAGTCCATCAGAACGTACGTAATCTGCACATTCAGGCATCCCAATGAATTTACCATAATACCCCTCTTCTCCAAGGCCAAAGCTGATGGAATTCTATCCTGGGCAGCCCTCCAGATAAAGCATAACACCTTGATTGGAACCCCTCTTCTCATAATTTATAATTTTTTTTACATACATTCTAAAAATTACACGTGTAAATTTCTCTGATTTTACATTAAATAAAAAATTTATTTAACTAATTGGAGTATAACAGGGAAATCTTTAATTTAGGGATTTAATTTTGATTTTGGTCACCATTAACTTTGATTTCTAGATAAGTTGTTTATATTTGAAATCCTTTCCAAGTTCATCCCTTAATATCAACAATCCACTTCAATGTTATTTGGTAGGTTGATAAACATGATTTGATATATACGAGGTATATATACAATGGGTATATTCCTTAATAAAATAAAATTTCTTCTCTATGTACATATAGTATTCTTTACCTGTTGTAATCTCTTCCTCAACTGAGTTCGTGGCGATGAGGCAGCTGACATATCGCCATCACCTTCAAAGATAACACCTCCTACTTCTCTAACTAAACGTGTTTGATCCAATATTTTTATCACTTTCATGAGATTGGTTCCATCCACTATTACAATCATAATATGTAAGCCTTCCTACTTATTCATCTTTCTCTCCATGGATTTGGTTTTTATTTTTCACGTAGCCCTATAGAATCAAAGTCATAAAATTTCAATTCTATTCAGTATGTCTCCTTTTTACTCCCTCTTCTTTATTATATGTACCAAATCACCTATGTTACCAACAATTGGGAGAACCCATGTTTCCTTAAATGAAAAGGACCTTAGGTATTCATTCATCGCTTATTGAAATATACAAGCTGCAGCCGGTAGTTGACGGTTTGGTAGTATCAAATTAATTTTCAAATGATGGTTGTAAGTCCATGGAAAAAAATGCATCGTCTAATGAAAAAAACCTTGCGTGCTTCCATGTTTGGTGGCAGGTCTATCAAAGCTTGAGCTCATTATTATTAGTTGCGATTTCATAATTGATGAAGATATAGATCTTCTACCCGGCATCTTCACCTTTCCAAGTTTAGTAATAAGTATATAATCTCATGAAATTTGATATACCTATTGGTAGTAATCATTTGGATATAATATACCTATTGGTTGTAATCATTTGGATATATTTCTATAGTTTAATCATATCTCACACGCTACTTGGTCGCTAGAGTTTGAGGATTCTTCTCAACTTAGTGAATACATAATTTTTTGTAACAAAGTGTTACTATAAGTGATTCGTAAATGAGAACGAATTATGTTTTAATAAAATTTAAACACTTTAGAACAATAATATGTGGATTGCCACTTTAGTCCATAAAACTTTACATCCTCATCATTTTGAATGGAAATTAGTTTATATTTACAATTTTCTTTACTTTATTTTATTTTTAACAGCGTATTTTCAAATTTTATATTTCTAATTTATTAAGTAATTTTAGTGGTTTTTGATTGTTTGTTAAGGTGATGTGGTGCGTATATCATTAGAAGGATCTCAAATGGAAACTAACGATCCCACCCCAACTAAATGCTACAAGTGGATGTTAAAATTATGACTTAAAGTAAAAGTTTATGGTGAATTTTAATATTATATAAGCTTTTTCTCATAACCCATTTCTGTCATAGGCATGTGCCAAGTTACGCAATTGTTTAGGGTAGGACTTCCTTCCTCATATGAGTTTGTGTTGCCTCCTTTACTTTAGTATGCTCAACTCAAACCTGGCAGATAAGATGTTATAATACAAAATGCAAACATAGGATGTTGTAATAGGAAACTTCCAATGACTCCAGTCATGTAGACTGCACACACACATTCATGTATCCAAAGTCTGTTCCCCTGATTCACATATTTTTGTTAGGTGTTTTGCTTTTACCACAATACAGAATGTTATAACTGTTGGGGTTGGAAAACTCTTCTATTAAACACGAAAATAGAATTACAATAGGAGGAGCAACTCTCACACTCAACTATTACAAAAAACCAACCCTCTCACTAACACTCTCACTCTAAGTGTTATACTATCTGTTTCTCTGTGTTTTTGGGATGCATACAACTGAAGAATGAAGTCTCTATTTATAGTCTTGGCAGCCACCATTGTAGTTACGTCTATTAATTGTGTTCATCATAGGGTGGGAAGAAAAAATTTGTCCCGTAGGTTTCATTTTGTCAACAATGATGGCTACTGTAGCTTTGGAGGCTTTGGAGGCTGGAACACAACAAATCTCCCCCTCCAGTCTCCGTCCAACAATCCTCATCCCAACTATGTCATCACATAGTCTGTGTTTCTCTTGTGTCACCACCTTTGTCAACATGTCTGCCTTATACTTCATAGTATTTCCCTTTCCGTCTTTCTTCAGTTTGAAAACCCACTTGTTTTTCAAGGCTTTCTTTCCTTTGGGGAGTTTCACCAACTCATATGTTTGATTCTTCTGCAAAGAATTCATTTCTTCTTCCATGTCCTTCTGCCAATTTGCTTTGTCAATATGAGATTGAGCTTCTTGAAAGCTCTCTGGCTCCCCCTCACTAGTAAGAAGGATGTAGTTTAAGTCGGATATCTTGTTGATGGAGCACGTACTCGTTCGGATCGTCTAACTTGAGTTCCTTCGTTTGCAACTTCTGACAGTGGATCTGAATTATCCAGGGGTGGAAGCTCCCCCTCATCAACACCTTCTTGATATGCATCATCGACTTCTTCATCCACTTCTTCAGTGGAAACATCATCTTTATTTTTAGATATTATATCTGAAACTTTGGAGCTTTGTTGCTTGTTAACCGGTGCCTTGAAATCATAATACTGGTTTTCATAAAAAACCACATCTCTGCTTCGAATAACCTTATTTAGTTCTGGGGCCCATAGCCTGTACCCGAACTCTTCATCTCCATATCCAATAAAGATGCATGGAGTGGATTTGAGGTCCAATTTCTTCCGCAATTCACTTGATACATGTGCAAACGCTTTGCACCCAAATACTCTCAAGTGAGAATATGATATGTCTTTACCCGTCCATATCTTCTCCGGAACTTCAAAATTCAATGGAGCGGAAGGTGACCTATTTATTAGATAGCAAGATGTCAATACAGCTTCACCCCAGAATGGCTTTGGGAGTTTAGTCATGCTGAGCATGCATCGAACTTTCTCAACAATGGTGCGATTCATCCGTTCTGCTACACCATTGTGTTGTGGGGTTCGTGGGACAGTCTTTTCATGTCTGATACCATGTTCCGTGCAGTATTTAGAGAACTCACGGGAATAGTATTCGCCTCCATTATCTGATCGGAGACATTTTAGCTTCTTGCCTGTTTGTCTTTCCACCATTGCATGAAAAGCTTTGAAGCGGTCCAATACTTGGTCCTTCGTTCTCAAACAGTATGCCCATACCTTTCGTGACGCATCGTCAATGAATGTCACAAAATACCGGCTTCCACCAAGAGATTCTACTTCAATGGGTCCACATACGTTGGAGTGGACAAGGCTCAGCAACTCAGAGCGGTTCTTTCTTGTGGAGCTAAAGGAAACTCTGTGTTG